GATGATGATGACACATGGAAGTGAAAACAAATAGACAATTCTGTTTGTTTGTGCATTTTCGTTTTCGATTGATAACTACCGAACGATTGATTGATTGATTCAATGAGAAAATGAAACAAAAATGGAAGAAATCATTTCTCAGTTTTCATTCGGTTCACCCAAACAATTCTTCTTGTTTCCTACGAAAGGAGCATCGATCGCGTATCATGACAACGGCAGATTTCTCGTAATCAGTGGAAACCGAAACCACAAATCAAAGATTCCCCATTTTGGTTTCGTTTGATGTGTCCTTGTTCACTAGCTGACCATTTCGCATAGCTGAATTCGTCTCGAAGCAATACTTCTTCGAGCAATACTTTCATTCGGTATTGATACTGGCTTGTTTATGTGAATTGCTCATATTAATTCAGTGCTCCGATGCAGTCAGTCCATTTCTACCTCTTCATCAATGCTTTTCGTGAACTTGAGATCAGGCTGATACGTCTAGATCAACGAATTTGTAGCCGGTGTCTTCATGATCAAAATGCAAATAAAATGAAAAACAAATTTAAATTCTGGATAAATATAAAGCAATACAAAACAGAAAGCAAAATCCTGCATTACTGCAACAAAAAAACAAAGAATTTCAAAAGATCATTGAGGAAAAGAAAGATCATTTCCAGCCTCGAAATCACCCGAAATGAATTTGATCCTACGAGGTTCTTGATCTACTCTCACACTGATTATTTATGGTCAAATCAACCTAATCAGAATATCCACATTCTAGATTTTCAAACTCTTACGAATTGTACAATTGTGGTTCTTCGGTGTGAACACATAATTTGTCAGTTGATTTTGTTGAAAGTATCAGTTCATCTTCAATCCATCTCTGTATCAAAATGTTCAAATATAATAAATATCATGTGTGCTCGCAATCCAATCTCATGCATTCCCTATACGTATGTGTGACTATTGTATGTCAAATCGCTGAACATGTGTAATTAATCAATGAAATGAACTACTGATGTTGCTGCTGGTTTATGATGATGTCAATCTCGTCACATTAATAACGATGATCGCAATTCTAAAACATCACCAATCAGAGCTATGCCCCAGAACAAGTTCCTTCCATGAGCATTTTAATGCTAGCATTATTACTGCTCTTATTAGTCCCCATTCAATGCGATCGATCAGACGGATGGATGTGTATCAAATCACTTGAACTGAATAAAAATAAAACATAGAAATAATGCTGTTGATGATGGTATAATATTGTTCGAATAATGAAATAACATCAATAATATGATATAGTGATTACGAAACTTTCATTATAAAAATAAAAATAATGCCAATAATAAGAGTAATATTAACAATAATACTGCCATTAATATGTTAATAACAAAAATAATAAAAATAACATCAGTCATGTAAAAACTTCTTAAAATTCTCAACTGAATGATCAGTTAAATGAGTGTCTTGATAGGTGTTCGAGGTGAATTGAGTTCATTTTGCGTACGAAACGGTAGCAAAGAGATGGCGATTGGTTGGTTCCCCTCCCCATCACATAATGTGACAATCAGCGATCATGAAGACAATTTTATGGGAAAAAATTAAGACGAAGAAATAAATTGACAAAACAGAAACTGACAAGAACATCGTCGTCATCAGCATCAGCATGAGCATGTGCACACTTTAAATTTCATTCACTCATTCAACCAATCAATCGAGCACGACAACTGAACCGATGAAGCCCCATCATCACGAGCAAATCACAAATAGTCTTCTCTAGACGGTACCATGAAAACGGTCACGCCTTTTTGATGAGGAGGAGTATCGATGCATTTTTGGGCATTACATTTGCGATGCATCATTCTTATATAAGCGATTCCTTGAGACGAGTTCACATTAACTGTTCGCTTATAACACTCAGTTATATTGCAGCAGCTGATGTGAGTAATTCAATGGGAACAACGTCACATTCACGAAAAAAATTCTATTCTTTTCATCATTTTTTTATTCATGCACGTTTCTGTATGGACATTTTTGAGATTTTCTCTATTGTGAGCTTTTCGATGTAATTTCCCGTTCATTCGAGTTTGAATTTCGACAGATCACATGTTATCGTTGATTTGTGATTGATCACTTCGCTATGACAGTTATGCTAACCATTTCGCTGTTTTGTTTGTTTTGCTTGAAGTCATAACCTTAAGAATTAATGGAAACAAACATAAGATTAAGTAGTAATAGGCTGCGATGAATTCTTCCTATTCTTTATAGTGTTTGTCTTTGAAGATCAACCCAGTTCTACCACTGACTTCACTAGCCAATTGCGAGAATATAACTGTCCTAATATAACAATGCAAAGTTCGAGGAAAAAACATTTAGGAAGTGTAGATAGATCGGAAAATGGAAAAATTCCGCTTCTGAAACCGGAAAAAACCAGAGCATTTTTTAGGAAGTAATATAACGTTTCAAGTTATGACGAGATAGAGCTTAGTCTTGCTCACAGTGAGCATCACAGGTGACATATGAAGAAACCAGTTATGTGTGCATTAAATGATACACCGATCAACGCGTTAAACAATCCGCTATTTTATCACACCGCGTCATTATAAATGCGATGTTAATATGTTGGGTGGGTATGAAATTGATCAAAGATAGATGAAGTAGAAATAGATAGTTGTTTTTATGAATTTATTATCTTACAGACAGGTGATTAAACAACATCAAATACTCAATCAATAACTAGATTTCAGTCCATAAACTACTGCCGAATACGAGTTACTTCATATACTAGTCAACTTATTGTGTGACCATTTGATCGAATACCTCGTTGTTCGGATTGATATTACCTGCCTCTTGTCAATTCCCCTTTTCAATAAATCATATAATTTTTATGAAAATTTCGATTAGGAGCAATAAGCAAAGAGTCCACTTTTTAGAGTAACTTTCCAGCGAAACAATAGAGTCTCTCAACCTTATGCATATAAATAAGTAAGAATGAGAAGGCGACTCTTCTTTCTTAATATCTTGTGCACTAGAATTTAATCGTCAAGTGATTGAGAGAACATTATTTGGAATGTGATGAAGTGCATTCACGCTAACGCAAACCAGCTTTGTGCTACTGGATAAATATTCTCGATAATGAAACAATGAATTTTCAGATTGCTTTTAATGAATATTATTCAATATTTGCGTACTACTTTATTCATTGCGACGATTTTTCTAGTGCGCAATGTCCAGAGATCTCGCAGTGCTCCTACTGAGGCTATTTCAAGTGATATTCTAGGTCAACCGGGTACTTCACTACATCTCGATAATCCGCCGCCCGCACCTATACCTGTACCTGTAATTACGATTCTGCCGTCATCTGAAAATCACCGATCTAATGAAGAATCCCCATTGTCGCCTTCGTCAAATGCCGAGGAACTGTCGCACGTTCCAGCTGATCCCATATTGCTGTTTCATTTAGCAGAGCCAAAATCGATAGTCTCAATAAGTGGCTCAGAAAAGAACCAAACAGCTCCAACTCAACACAGTCAAAATCACTCCGGAGAACCAGAAAACAACCAACAAAAGTCTGCACCGGCAACGGAATGCTCAGGCGAAAACTGCGACCACCGCAGCAGTCACCATAGTGACGAGCCACAAGCGGAGACCAAACAACATCAGGAAGAGCGGAGAGACGATACACATGAGAAACTAGCTGAACCTCAACACTCTCCAGGTGCTGAGAGTATTCAAACGGCGAATGCACCTGTTCGAGATATTGTAAATCCTGTGCAGAAGCCAGTAACCGCTGAAGAGCTTAGACGGGAAATTTTGTTGCGACTGCCCAACAGTCCATCGATAACAAATCCCATCGGAAGAACATCAACAAATTTGAATATGAATACACCGATGACAAATGCGAACAAAGATGCCGGAGCTCACAGCCATCCACTACATCAAAGCCCGCTCGGTCCGAACGGTCATCAATCTGCTGCTTTCAATGAGCCTCAGATTCCTCCATTGCAACCTTCTGATACTGATAGGGCATTGAATAGGCCATCTGAGGCAGTGATAAGCAATCCATCGCTGGAACTGCCACCAGGCCCGCCGATTCTCATCGCGGCTCCGGTTTCGGTCGCTCTCGCTCCAAGTTTGGTCCTACCCAAGGAGCTGACTCTTCCCGTTCCCCCAGCTATTCTTCACCCGAATCACACAAACTCTCGCCCTGACTCCAGTCCACCTATTCTGGTACTACCCGCTCAAATTGATCTAAGTGCTCCTAATCTCGATCAGCCTATGTCTCCAATCCATGTACCATCTGAACCTACTACTAACCAAACTCTCAGAAGGCCCATCGCAAACGAATTCATCCAAACACCAGCAACTCCCTCATACTATTTGCTGCGATCTGCCATGCCCAGATTGGCCAAATTTTGGCTCTACCACACAGTTGAAGAGCTTCAAAAGTCCAACGAAAATGACGCCAACACAAGAAATGATAACAGTCGAAAAGCAAACGAAAGTGGGAAATTGGAGAAGGGTGACGAGAAAGAAATGCTGCTGGTCGATCCGAGCGTGCAGTTGCCTTCACAAGAGGATATTCTCAGTGATCGATATGAAAGTCCTGAGTTCGCATGTGATATACATGACTCTCGCAATGCGGCCATCTACTGTCAAGGCGATTTGTTGCATGCCGTTATGATGATGCATCTGTTCAACGATTCGAAAACGTTCGTCGATAAACCACTCAAAATGGATCCCGATCAGATAGTGGCCAGATTCAAGGAACGTTTCTCGCAGTCGATTACGAAAGATCATCGCGATCAGGTCATCGACTTTGTTGAAGAGCATTTCGACGTGGAAGGCAACGAAATGGAGAAGTGAGTACAATACTGTTACAATTCCAGCTTTGGTTCTTCATGGAATTCGTTTAAAAAAACTACTTTTTCGGTTCTTTTGGACAGTACGTTGCCTATCGCATTACGAATAGTGGTCCATAGATAACAATGCTCATAACATCCTATATGAATATCCTGGATATTGATATCTTAAGTTACATATAACAGAGATAACCGCACAATCAAATTCCACAACTAGATCATTCATTTAGATCACTGCTGGTTCATCCATAATGATTATCTCATCTCGTCGTTCTTACAAAATTTCATTGATGAGAGTACAAACAGCATTGAGCATCGTCAATTTCATTCTTCAGTAATCATTCACTTTCACTTCGAATTAAGATTATTTCCTTGATAAGATGGATTTTTCTAAAGTTGAAATGTGTTGAAGAGTAAACAGAACGGGTACTGATATGAACCGAAAATTTAAAATATATCTCAGAAAGTGAACAAAATTTCTCTGGAAATGCCCTCTTGAGGAGCAACGAATTGGAGCAACAATATTTTTGCATATATCCGCCTTCAGATGTGACTTAGTAGATTGGCAGGAACAGCCACAAAAACTTATGTCAATAGACGATCCGGCACTGAGAGATTTCGCTTTGGACGTACACACGGTCTGGAAGAAACTTTGCAGAACTATCAAGAAAGAGGTGAGGTCAACTCCGACGATTTTGCAAAAGCTTCTAAGACTAAGCGTTCGATAGTTTTTTGAGATCAGTCGGTTTTTTCGGTGGAATCTTCTGCATCAATACGAGAGGATAATAGTGAATGTCACTAGAATGCTCAAGCAATACATCCGACAAATTTTGAACTTATTCGTTTCTTCATCAGGTTTTGAAACAAGTTTTCACAGATCACAGACAAGACAGAATGCGATCGCAATAATTACAATATATGTTTTAATAGGTAAACGAACAACCCGAACGTTTCTCGCTGCTGTACGTCCCCAATGAATTCATCATACCTGGCGGTCGCTTCCGAGAATTCTACTATTGGGACAGTTACTGGATTGTGAAAGGATTGATTGCTTCAGGTGAGCGGAATTTCTACAGTTTTGTCATTTCTACAGATCCATCACTATTCCACGAACACTGCTCATTTTTTTCAGAAATTATCAGCACTCATTAATTTTCCGCTTATGGTGTTATTTTCATAGCGATTTTCTGAGTTATGAAAGAAATTTTGATCATAAGGCAATGTTTGGTAGGAGAATTTGCAAATCCTATCAGTCCCATGTAAATCTCACGAGACAGATGAAAATTTTGCAAATTCTGGCTGAAAATTTGTGTTGAGTTTTTCAGGAATGCACGAAACAACGAAACGAATGATTGAGAATTTTCAACATTTGATTGAGAGGAATGGTTTCATTCCGAACGGTGGTCGTATCTACTATATGCGACGTTCTCAACCTCCCATGTTCATACCAATGGTATATGAATATCATATGGCCACACGGGATGATATTTTCCTCAGAAAGGCGATTGATGCTATGGAACGGGTTCGTTCTGGATTTCTTTCTTTCTGTGTCTCTGGATTTTTCAATTGTTTTTGTGAATTTTTTTTGGATTATTTCGATGAGAAAATGCTTGGGATAGAATCTGGGACTGAATTCGGACTTGGAATATTTTTTTCAGGAATTGGAATTCTGGAAAACTAGACGAACAGTTCAAATCACTAAAAACGATCGTAACTATACAGTTTTTCGCTATCGAGCTGATAGTAATGTGCCAAGGCGAGTTCCCCACTGAATGTCTCTAATTCTTCGATCTCCTTTCAATTTAAAAAAAAATCCTCAATAACAAATGTTCCGGAATGCCAATATATCACCACACAAATCAAAATTGGCAAAATGAAAGGATGAACCCTTAACATTGTAAAAATTGCAACTCATAAAAATAATCTCTTCATTTAGACCAGAATCCTATCGTGAAGACTATGAAACTGCCAATCAGGTTAGCCCCGACAAGAAGCGACAACTGTGGAGGGATATTGCGAGTGCGGCCGAGTCCGGTTGGGATTTCAGTAGCAGATGGATGGCTGATCGAAAAACAATGAAAACCACGCAGACATCGCAAATAGCACCAGTTGATTTGAACGCTTTCATGTGCTGGAATATGGCTATTCTGGCGCATTTACACGGCAGAATAGGTCAGTTCCGAATAAATACCATCTTCACTATCGTATTACATACATATAAATGTTATGACGACTCACCAGAATGCTCTATAATCTCCATAAATTTACAATCTTCCAAACAACTTTTTGAAAATCTACCATTTCATCTTTCTTCTTGGTTGTGTTCGCTTATTTAAAAAAACGTCTGATTTCGGAATTTCTTTTGAAATTCATTTAAAAATTTTTACAGAAATGCGTCTGAATTTTCCAGTTTAGGCAAAAAAATATGAAAAACAATGGTAAACTTCTAGTAGAATTCCTAGAATTTTCTNGCGGAACTGTTTCGTGAGCGCAATGATTTCGTCGATACGTTCACGGACGTATTTTTCGATCAAAAAGAAGGCGTTTGGTTCGATGTGAGGGTTCAGGACGGGCAATGGGAGCATGATGCATATCCGTCAGTGGCTGCGCCACTTTTTACCGAATGTTACCATCGACTTGATGCTCGTATGATGACTGATGTGCTGGACACTTTGGAGAGAGTTGGCTATTTGGGATTTCCAGGCGGAATACCAACAAGGTAAGGCGTGATCTAGCTGTGATCTATATGCTACTCGATAGTTACCAAAAGGTTTTATCCTCGATCTGACAGCCAATTATCACCATCACATACCAAAAGCCTCTTGCTGGATACCATAAACTCAGAGTTCAATAAGACTATATGAAAGTGACTGACTATAAGTTCAATACGGCTAATCGAGCCACATAAATTTATCAAACTTTTAGTTAATAAATTAGCTAAACACCATTAAAATCATTCCATTGAATAGAGCATTTCATTATCATTACGCGTAATTTTTTCAGTCTGGTCAAAGACACCCATCAACAATGGGATTATCCGAATGGTTGGGCACCTGTCAATCATATGATCGTCGAGGGACTTCGCAAGTCCTCTTATTACAGGCAACAATTCCTTACAATTAAATACCCAACTCGAACCAAACTAATCATT